GGGCGCTGGACGGAAGCGTTTTTGGTGTTGGTAAGAGGGTGTGATGTGTGACATGTTGATCCTCGCTGCCATGTTTTGTGAGGGTCGATGTTAAGCGTTATGGCCATGAGTTTCCGGGTACACGTGGTCCATAATGTGCCGGTGCGTGGGTCTTGGTTACGTGTATGTTGGCGCCGGGTTGACATGAATCGTGTTCGGACGAGACCGGGGCACGGTAGGTCTAGGAGGCTGCTTGTTTTGGGTAGTGCATGAAAAGCGTGGGCATGTTCGACTTTGTTTTCCCAGTTAGGATCGTATGAATCGTAAGCGTTGTTGTCGTCGATATTGTATCTGCATTAAAATGGTTGTGCAGAGTTATTGTTATACAAATAATCTCGGTTTGCAGCACGCCAGACGAAACCGCGATGGTCGCAAAAAACTCCTTATGGTATCTATCATACAACATAAGTTTCTTCGCGTGGGTAAAACATTGCTCCAGGTTGCAAACCTGAAGGGGAGGCACACACACCCACTAAGAATTGGGGTCGTTTCGAGTCCCATCGCCAACACATTCCTGCGCTTGGAGTGGGAATGCGCGGAGACGGCGAAAATTGCAGGACTCCAACATGGTGGAACCCAAAGCGTGCCTGAGAGTTACCGCCAACACCCAACGTANCGACGTAAGTTTCTTCGCGTGGGTAAAAGATTGCTCCAGGTTGCAAACCTGAAGGGGACGCACACACACACACTAAGAATTGGGGTCGTTTCGAGTCCCATCGCCAACACATTCCTGCGCTTGGAGTGGGAATGCGCGGAGACGGCGAAAATTGCAGGACTCCAACATGGTGGAACCCAAAGCGTGCCTGAGAGTTACCGCCAACACCCAACGTAGTATTGGGTTTCAAGAAAAAGTCTTGCAAACTGGCAAACACCAAACGACATGCATGTACGCAGGTTGGAGGCGCAGAGACTCGCCCGTGAACCACAACGGTCTCGGTATTTTACACCCATGTTACCCTTGATACTCCTTTGTGGCAGCAAGGCATCCTCTCAATTGTTGTTGCCAACCAAACTCACACGTCTTCGCGGAGGCGCACGTATCCTCCATGGCGATGCTACGAATTAACGAAGACGTTGACTCAACCATGCGCAAAAAAAACACTAGCCCCCCCCTCCCGAAACCACAACAAAAAATAAAATAGCCACGGCCCTCGCAAGAAGCAAGCCTTGCCGTGAGAGTGGAAAAACAAAAACACCCTTACCGTGAGGGTTGGGAAAAAAACACCCTCGGGTTCGTTTGCTGCCGGCGCTGACTCTACCATGCGCAAAAAAATAAACAACCCCGCCCCCCCCGGTGTTTGCCATCGGGGTTGGGTTTTCGTCGCTTGGCAACGACGTTGTAAAACAAGCCGCCCCCCCCGGTGTTTGCCATCGGGATTGGGTTTTCGTCGCTTGGCAAAGACGTTGTAAAACAAGCCAATTCACTTCGTGAACTCGGCAACCAGGTTACCGGTTTTTTTTTACCTCCGTTTTTTTTTTGGCGGTAACCATAATGGTGGTCGAGTAGATCATGTTGTGCGGGGTGGAGGACCCTCACTCCGCGCAAGGGGGATGATCGCACCACGTTGTGGTAAAATGGTCAAGCACCCTCGAGGCAGTTACACAGTGCTTACAACTGTCTCTGGAAGTGAAAGCA